CATCTTATTTTGACTTCGTTCAATTAGTATTTTAATGGCTGAATTGTTTTATTTGAATGTGCGCTGAAGTCAGAATGGACTTTACTGCATTTATTTTCTTTTATAATGTTTACAGAACATCACGGGGGGTTGGGTTGAAATGTGCTCGGCTGTTGGTTGATTATCTAACGCTTCCTGTTTTTCCGTCGGCGCAGATGAAGACAAAGTGTTGATGCTGCTTTGTTTGCCGAGTTGCTCCGATGCTGTTCTTTCCACATTTTAATGAACTTTTATCACATCTTTGCACATTATCCATCGACTTCCATGCATCTAATTCACCTCCATATCTACACTTGCCTCGTCAGTTTTACATCACAGTCCATCACTTCTCTCACATAAAGTCCTTTCGCTCCCATTCTTCCCATTTACTTCCATATTTTCCAGTTGGTCCACAGCATCACTTAGTTTATCTGATACTTTTTCCACATTGTAAAACCACATATCATCACCCATCAATTTAAAATCACCCACTTTCCAGCTGCTCATGCTTTTACTTTCACTTCAAACTTCATCTATTCCGTCCTTTCTTTTGCGAGCATCCTTGTTATTTGTACATTTCCCAGCTGCCTCAGCTTCTGCTCCGTTCATTAACTTTATTCCGGTTAGCGGCTCACATCCTGTCACTACTGTGAACAAAGATACTAAAGACCATCCACTCACCATATATTCTCCAAACTCCATTTATTCTACTTAATTTCAAACATGTGTGTTTTGTTTTTAACGACTTCAATCACTTTTTTAAACGATCGTTTACTTTGGCTCATTACGCGCCGACCTCACGTCACCTCGGTCAGTTCGTGTAAACGCTGTGTGATGGTGAAAACAGCTTTTTCACTTCGCTTCTTTCAACTCAATCGACTCCCACCATTCACGGCCGCTTGGTCACATCACATGATCGCTTTCTGGCACATTTTTAGAAAACGTGACTCTGCGCGACCCCCGGTTCATTTGTGTTCGCTTTGCCTCGACATGCCGACGCAGAGCCGCGGACGACCGGCTCCAGCAGAAGTTTGACTCAACATCGTGTGTGTGTCTGTGTGTGTGTGTGTAGGGGGGATACGGCGGTTCTCACACACCCACACAGATGGCTGATGTTGGTTGCTGACTGCGTCACTGAGCTGCAGGCAGCTGGCAGGCGGAGTGTTTTTTAATCTCAGGTCTAATGATTCGTGACGGGACCAAAGCACCTCAGTGTGTGTGTGGGTGTGATTTCTGTGTGTGTTTAGGGGTTCTGGGCACCACATGATGAAAACACTTTAATTATTTAAAAGGCCTCCAGCTCCTCGGTTAAGCGTGGTTCGGTGTCTGCAGGGAGCCCGGCGCGTTACATCATGTTTTACATATTCATTGAAATCTAATTTAAGGAAATGTGAAGCACTGTGCGCTCGCCCCGGCACAGAAACACTTTGATTTTCTGGTTCTGCACATGTTCAACGTTCTGAAAAGTAAACCGATCCACGTTTGCTTCTTTGGCGATGCTGCTCAGAAACATGTGACCGCGCTTTCTTCACCGCTCTGCAGCAAATGTTTGCCTTTCATGGACATGCGGCTCAATCCTAAAAGGAAAAACACTTTTCTGAGACCAGGTTCACATGTTGGCGGGAAGCATGCACTATGAAGCAGGTTCAACGTATCCAGGACATCTTTCTGTTATTGGGGCTCTTTTACTGTGACATGAAGCTGGTTGTCAATTACAAACTCCATTTAAAAGAGTTAGCATGTGTGAAATAGACGTGAATGAAGAGCTGTCGTTAAACAGACTGAAGCACCGGCCAGTAAAGTCCAACAACCTCCAGCAACCAGTCATTCCAACTTTCATTCACAAAGAGATTGACGTCGGGAATATACGCTTTCCTCGAGCGACCGCTGGTTGTCATGGACGCCTGACAATCTCAGGGATCTTCCAGAAATGGTGATGCTATTTTCCATAGATCTGATTGGTCAGTAGGTGCTGATGTCATACCTGTTAACCTCTTATCTAAAGTACGACCTACACTGGAGCAGGATAGGTGTGAACTCAACAACCACTAATCCTGTTTGTAGACTGCTCTGTGTTAGAGCTCACGTCTACCTGCTGCTGTGATCAAGAAGAAAGTGTGTGTGTGTGTGTGTGTGTGTGTGTGTGTGTGTGTGTGTGTGTGTGTGTCTTACGTCGGTAGGGGGACTTGGCATGGCGGGCAGGGCAGAGCCTTCTTGACAAACGCGGGCTCAGACGGCTGCTCCCACGGTCCGGCTAAGTGAACCTAAACCACATGGAGAAAAAACTTGTTGGTGCAGCAACACAAACATCCTGTGTTTTCTCTCTGAGAGGAAACGGGACATTTTCTGCTTTATGGAGCTCGTGATGTTGATAAGATGTTTGACAACGGCGCTCGCAGACACACTGGAGTATTGCGCTCGAGTCCACGGCATCCAGATCTGAATAAAAAGTACTTCAGCATCAGCTTTAAGCACCAAAACTCTGAGAACATCTGCAGATTATTAAAGACGCACTCAGATTTATGAATTATATTTCATACTAACCATCTAAACCACGATACACGTGCAGTGTCACACAAAGTGAAACTTCCTGCTAAATCTGACTGTATAAGAAACAGGAAATGGAAGTAATAAAGTATTTAGTTACTTTCCAGTAAAGCAGTCATTGTTTTTATTCGTTTAATTCACTTTATTCACTTTTAAAGCTCTGAAATGATTCTGGTGATTGATTCTATTTAACACAAAGAATCTGGAAAATAAAATAGTCTCAGCGCTTTCAGAGTAAAAGCATCTGAAGCCACAGCTGCTGCCTGCACCTCGTCAGCAGGCTGCGCATCATTTTCCTCTCTTATCACACAGCCTGGGATCAGCACAGATCCCAGAGAAACAAGAGGACCTGAGGTGGTCCTTTACCTGCTGGGACTTGACCAGCACCACGTCGTGGCAGGGCTGCGGGCAGGTGTGGCTGCAGCTGGGCAGCGGCAGCAGGCAGGGCTGCTTGCAGGGGGGGCAGGTGCCGGGGTGGCAGCGGTGAGCCTCTCGGGTCGGGTGGTGGCAGGACGGAGGACACCTGAGGACAGCAGATGAAACTTTAGTGAGACCTTTCTGATTCCTGCTTTTCTTCTCTGCCCGTAGCCAAAGCCAACAGGAGCAGCTCATTACGGGTCAACGATCGGCCTCGTTACAGCAGAGCACGACGAATAAGGGAGTAAAAACAATTAAAAGTCAGTTAAAGCATAACCTTCTGTGGCTCTCAGGCACGTTTTAATCAAAGCTCTCAGGAGACGTTGCATAACTGCAGAACTGTTATTTAAGACTGCAGGAAAACATAGGAGTGCTGCGCTTTTAACCTCCTCACTGCAGGTTTGCCCTCAGGATCTAAAGCACAGGTGTGTGTGTGTGTGTGTGTGTGTGGTTACCTGCAGGCCTCCTTGCAGCGAGGTGGTTTGGTGGTCCTCTCGCGGCCACAGGGGACGACAAGAACCGTCGAGCCGCACGTGCACCGGACCTCCACCGACTCTGGACACGGATAACAGCTGCCTGAGTCAGAGAGGACGACATTAAAGGGCAAATTCACTCATTTTCAGATAAACCGGGGGGAACGTGATCATCAGTAACAGAGTTTATCATATCCTCCTATTAAAAATCCTCCACTGAGCTGAGCAGACCGCCCACCTGTAAGCCACACAGATATAAGCGAGGCTGCCATATCGCGGCATCGGCCCCTCTGGCCGTCACCAGTAGGCGGTAGGTGAAGTGTCTTGCCCAAAGACACAACGACCGAGACTGGCCGAGCCGGGGCTCAAAGATATATCTTCTATCAATCGATGATTACAGAAAGCATTCCCTCATCTGGTTTTGTCTAATATGTTTAGTAATATTACTGCAAACACATTCATGACAAACACGAGTCTTTCCTGTTCAGCAATCAGATAAACTGCTGCTGCTCTGTGAGACGTTGGCAGGTCTGCCTGCACGGCGTCAGTCGACACTCACTGAAGACTTCCATTAAAATAACACACTGAATGTTTGGCAACAGACAGGACTGAGTGGGAGACTCGTGTCTCACAGCTTGTGCAGATAAAACCTGAACAGCAGATGCTTTTCCTTCTAAAGGAGAGACGTCCAAACCAGGAGCTCTGCTTATTTTAGACTGTGGGACAGGAGAACATCTGTAGTGCCATCGATGGACAAAGTAATGTAGGCTGAACTTAGAGGGGACATCCTCTTGGGCTGCAGCTGGTGGTGCTAGTTTTGTTCTGCACTGGAAGCTCGATGTTTGCTCGGGCTGATGTGAAGAGGTTAGAACAGGTTCATGAGCCAATCAGAGGCTGCAGAGTGGAACAAAGACAACCAGCTGCAGTCCGAGACTGAGTTCCCCTGCAGGATGAGAGACTCAACCAACCAGTTATATGGTTACCTGCGTCTTCCTGGGAGAGCCCAGACATCCTGCTGTCACCACGTGCAGCTGATGGATACAAACACAGGTGCCGACCCCTCACTGCCCCTCTGCTCCTCTCTTGACTTTTTCAAGATCTCGACACACATGAAGATCTAAACTTGCAACTCCACCCAAACCACGAGCACCACTCAACCCTTTAGCAACCAAGAACCTCGGAGGTGCATTCCAGCTGGTTTGACTTTGACGTAAACTACCCAAGTGCAGGTCAGAGGTCACTGCTTGATGACCTGTGCCCCTACCAAATGAAGGTCCCGAGAGCACCGAACAAAACCGGCTGTCCTGAAATATCCTGGAACCAGGGCAGCGTGGTGGAGTCCTGCAGTCCAGCAAGGAGGCAGCCGATGATGTCGGCCTGTTATTTACTTGTTGCAAAGAAATCAGCAATTAAAATCTCTGCAGAGGAGAAACTTTAATCACTGACTGAAGAACACATGTCCTCCCCTAACACCACAAACAGGATCCACATCTGTGGGAAACAACGTTCCCACTGAAGCGATGTTAAAAAGTAAACACAGGGTGGGGTGGTTTTATAGTTTCCATAGTTACACCAGTCACAATATCAAAGTTTACCTCTGCAGGTCAAAATAAACCGAACTGATGCCTCAAAGTTTGCAGCCTCCCAGTGAGGGAACACACACACACGCGCACACACACACACACACACACACACACACCCACACACACCAGTGGCAGCTGTTATCTGTGTGGCAATGCGTTGGCAGCGCTGCAACCTTCTCCCTGCTCCCTCTTGAAAGGTCAGAGCAGCCAATCAGCACGCAGTCACACCAATAAATTGACTTTAATCTATTCAGCCAATCAAGAGGCGGATGGATGAATAAATTATCTGTTATCGCCCAATCAGGGAACAATAGACGCAGGAAGCTGTCTGTTATTCAGACACAGACACACACAGAGCTGAATGTTTGGGAGAAAGTTGACCTGTTTCCTGCTGATCGTCATTAATTCCCTTTATCAAAGACTCGAGAGTGTGCGTGTTTTCTCCTGTGCTATCAGCTGGAAGAAATGTCAGCGCACACGCACACACACACACACACACACACACACACACACACACTGTCTCTTAAGTAGGCCAGAACTTCTCAGTTTGACCTCTCACCTTCATCCAGCTGTGAACCCTTCAACACTTCACAGCCTATCTGACAGACAGGAATGTGATGTGACGTGTGTGTTGAGAAGTTTCAGGTCCGTCCACGTCTGCTCAGACTCAAACTTTCTTTACTGCTGGCCCCTAAACGTGTTTGTTTCTGCTGTGACGTTTAACACAGGTAGTCTGACTGCTGGAGCCCCCGGTGGACACGAGAGGAGCTGCAGCTGTTATCACCTATGAACCTGAGCCTGTTACCACACGAATGATCATCACTGATCCATTCATTCCAACTGATTTGAATGCCGCTGTGATTCTGCACGTAATCTAAATGTAATCAGATTACTTACCTTGGTGACAGACTGAGGGACACTTGTGGTTCCGACAGCCCAGGGTTCGGCCGCAGCTTTGGTCGCAGGGGGGACAGTTACCGGGGCAACACTGAAACACAAAGCATCGTGGGAAACAGGTTTATCTCTGAGGCACTTCTTCTTCTACTTCTTTAATACAGGCGACCGCAGCTCGTCCTGCTCTGCTGTTTGGCGCCAAAATCATCAAACATGTGCAACAGACGTCATCGCGTCGTGTTATTTCACACAGCTACGAGTAACTCTGTTCACACAGGACTAGCAGAGGTGGAGGGCGGATGCAGGCTCGTCTGGGTTTTGCACCCTAAAGGTCATCTCACGAGAGAAAGCGCCGGCCCCCGCCACCCTGCAGCCTCCGTCAGGTGATAAGGAGCTTTTATTATGGAAATGGAACTTCCTGTGATTTAATGTATCAAAGGTCGTATGAGCTCCGCCCCCAAATGTTCCAGATTAATAACAGTTATATTAATCAGCCGACTACTTTGTACTTGCTGTCTACTCTCTGTTAGTCATGAAGCGTGTGGACTCAGTGTTTATTTGATCAGGTTAACGTCACGGCCGCTCCTCTGCAGGGAGTCGGGACTTTAAGAAGCGGCCGTTTCGAGCTCTGCACATTGAAGAAGCTGCAGGTTTCTGACTCCCTCGGTGAGCTCAGATGTAACTGGGACTCCCATGTAGCTGGACTGGAGTTTGGCACAATCCATTTTTCCAGCTTTAAAATCCTGTAAATGTCACGTCTCCACTGAGAAAGAGATTTTCACGCCGACGTTATAAACACTGCTGGGTCAGACGGAGTAGAGGGGTCTCAGGTGGCAGACACCAGCTGCTGCCAACCATCTTCCACAGCTTCATAAACATCGCTTACTTCTACGAACACGCTGTTGAACTACACAAAGAGCGACTGTGGGCTTTCAGAGCGGGGCTCACTGCTGAGAAGCAAACAGATGAAGTAGATTTATGAGATAAAACGAGGAGTTTGATGGGAAAATGAAAGCTAACGAGACCGTTTTATAAAAGAGCAGGTGCAATAACTGCAGCTGTTTGGGCTTCATTAAGTATTTAAATGCTGTTGGTGCCAAACAACAGGCTGAGCCACAGGATGAGACAGCGAACATTAAAATGACTGAAAGTGTCCATTTACATCTGAGCAGGTGGAAACGTCCCCGTTGGCCCCACGGGTCTGACAGCGGGCGGATTATTAAACCTCATCATGTCACATGTCAGACGTGGCGTCAGACAACCTTTTCCTATCAGATTAAACTGATCCGATGCCATCAGGGTGACATTTACGCCATGAAAATGAGACACCGTTGCCGTCACGATCAAAGCGAGACACCGGGACGAAAGCGTGGGGTTCCCTCTGCGAGTGGGTCCTTCATTCACTGCTCAGACGTTTCATCAGTCCTGCGTTGAGCTCGCCCTCGCTCTCTCCGAGACCTTTAATCCACCAGAGAAGAGGAAGGCGGAGGTATGAAGGGTCTTATGTGTGTCGTTATGCAACCAGCCTCACCGCAGCTGATGGAAAATCATTTATTTAACACCAAGAAGATAACAACTCCAGAGGCTCCAGATGTTTCACTGCAGGAACCATCAGAGGATTTGGTGGAACATTAATGTGATCACAGTCAGAGTGGAACAAATCTGAGACACTACACACTGAGTGGGCGATCCACACACACACACACACACACACACGTCCTCTGGGTGTAACTGTTCCTGCCTGCTGCATCACCTCCTCACTATTCTGATTCCCACCTGTGCAGACTCAGTTTGTACCCTAGAGGCCATGTGTAGGAGTTTTACTGGTGACGTGATGATTTCTTTGTGCAGTTCTGCTTGTTTTGTGGTATAAATCAACTGTACCTGCTTTCTTTATAGCCGTGCTGTTTCACTGCTTCATAAAAACTCAAATTCGCTGAGTTCAGTTGATCTGGAGCCAAGATGAAAGCTCCAAGGCTCAGTTTCCCACATACGGATTAAATCCAGGACCACAAACCTTAAAGAAAGTTTTATTTTATCCTGGGAGTCGATCTGGTCGTGTGTGGGAACCTGCTGAAGGGTTTCTGTAGGTGAACCAGGAGGATTACTAACAGCTGTCTCCGGGACTCAGTGTGCAGGTGGCTGCAGCTCTGTCTCCCTCTGCTGGTTACTGTGCCGCTCTGCTCACCTTCATTTGAATGGTTTCATCCACATTAATGACTAAAATAATCCTGATTATCTTTTTTTTTTTCAATAATCTAGAAGCCCAGACTTCACAAATGTGATGCTAACCAGTGAGAGCTGAAACAGGTGAAGCATCTCCTGCAGCCAGGTGTGAGCTCGTGCAGACTGATAGTTTCTAATGAGACGTCTTAAGGTGGACTGACTGACCTTCCTCCTGCACTGGTGTCTCTGACAGTTCCTGGTTTTGGGACACTTGGAGTCACACAGGTATTCTTTATGACACGGCATCTGCTTCCTGTATCGCCCACACCTGCACTCCTTCTCCACCTCCTGCAGAGACACAGAGCAGGGTTCAGCGTGTGTGTGTCTGTGCATGTGTGTGTGTGTGTGATCAGTGTGTGTCAGAGACCTGTCTGCAGGTTTCGCAGCTCCCTCGGTGACACCTCATTGAACAGGTGTGCTTCAAACATGCCAGACGGCGATCGCATGTGTCGCCGCATGGCTGCACTTCCTCTGTACACGGCAGAGACGACTCTACATACACACACACACACACACACACACACACACACACACACACTTAGAAAACAGTAGCATGGAGTGGAAACCTGTGTGTGTTTGCGTGAGCACTCACTGGTCTTTCCGCATGGACACGTCCTGCTGATGGAGCGAGGACATGGAGGACAGTCGCCATCGCAGCACACCTCCTCACAGGTGTGGTTCCCACAGGAGAGCGGAGCGCCGCACACCTGCGACAGACAGACAGGTGAGTGAGAGGAGGCGGGGCTTCCTGCTCTCAGAATAAAACTAAACACATCAGTCGAACCACACGGGCCGTTTCCACAGCTTTAATGGCTCATGTTACACTTTCTGACCCAGCGAGCAAAGACCACACAGAACATCTCGTCTGGAACATCTGCAGATTCTGGCAATAAACAATCACAAATCCAGCTGTGCGCTGCTGCTGACACACTGCAAACACACCTGCTGGCAGGTCCAGCGGGGGCTGGCGCAGGGCCTCTCTGCCTTCTCTCTGCCGCACACACACTTCTGAACGCTGACTCTGGGACAGGGCGCGCACTCTGACACACACAGGAGAGGGGGGGCTTTCAGGCGGGCATTTTGGACAGCTCACTCGGGACTGTGTTGAGTCACAGTGAAGCTTCACACATGACTCTGTGTGTGTGTGAGAGACTGTGTGTGTACCTGTGTGACACGGCTGTGAACACTTGTGCTGTTTGCAGAGCAACAACTTTCCACACGGCTGCTGACACGACCAGGCCTGCAGAGAGAACACACAGTGAGCACGTCACCAACACCCACAGCACGCTGTAAACCTGCAGACGGCGAGGCTCACCTTGTTGCTACAGCGACGGGGGAGGGGCTGTGCTTTGCCACACAGACAAGACACCGACACCATCTTTGGACATGGAGGGCAGGGGCCTGAAACACACAGCTTTA